TTGAGGTGTTTCTCTCCCTGACTAACCGGTATTACGCCTAAGTCGTCAGGATACTAGTGATTTTAAAACTACGATCAACGCCTATTTCTTAATAGCGATATATATGGCAAAACAACGTGTGCCGGGTCAGCCAGTATTAAAAAAAAATATCACAGCTCCTATAAAGCTATTAAATGTTTCATATATATATAACAAATTATGTTATTTATTGTATGACATTTAAGTAGTTTATTATACACGCTACTCTCCCACCCATATAAGTTTAAAATCTCAAGGCAACAACACCCACGCTTTCCGGAATATTTGCAATCTGTCCGTCTGTATATTCGTAATATTATTAATTGCATTCTGACTAGTTCCAACTTTACGATGAATAAATGGATAAACTGGCATTTTAGTAACATAATGATATACCTTCGCTGCAGTTATCCCAGTTGGGTAGTGAGAGAGTGAAATATTTCGACGGCATGAATACAAGCTTATCAACTTTTTTTTTTATAATACAGGGGACAAACGAGCATGCGGCTCACCTGATGGTAAGTGATTACCGCCGCTCATGAGCGCCCGCAACACCAGAGAATTGCAAGTACGTTGTCGGCCTTCTAAAAAGGAATAAGCTCTATTCTTGAAGGTTTCAATGTCGTATCGGTTTATAACTTAACTCTGAAAATACTTGATAATTGTTAATAGTTTACTTAACAATTTAACAAACAAAATGACAAGGCTAATGTTGTTCATGCACGTGATAGTCATCGATGCCCACATAAGTACCTAAACAATGTTAAAAACTGGCTATAAAAAAAAGAAATTCAGTTCAGTTTTTTGCTATTTCTTGTCAATTGAGTCTGTTTTTATTGTGTATTCTAAACTGGATTATAGGGAAAAAATATTGATACAAAAAACTTGACGTTCATAAGCGACTAAAATGTCTTATATGAATAAGTGATCTTTTATTTCATTTATAGACGACTAGCTACTCGCCCCGGCTACGCACGGGTGTACATGTATTATATACATATATTTTATATATAAAATTCTCGTGTCACAGTTTTCGTTCCCATACTCCTCCTCTTCACCTACTTTACTGCTTATAGAATTTCTATATATATAAATATATACCATTTAATCTCACCGATCTTGTAACACTCCAAGTAGGCTATCCTGTACTATAAGAAACTAGACAATGAAATACCTGAGGGCACATCTCAGCTTCATGTACTAGTTTTTGCCCGTTACTGCCAACTTATGCAGTCTTTTGTCTACCTAGAAAGTACTACAATTTCTAGACTCAACAGTAACCGATCCTCTGAGATTTAGGTAAAACCAATTAGAAAATACAATTGTAAATGTTATATAAATAGGTTATTTATTGCAATTAGGTTATTAATAAGCTCCCGATATTCCGTTGGTTAAGGGTCGACTAACAGAATTAAAAACGATTATGCCGAGAATATAAGTCTGTCCATCCGCTTTCATAGCTTTTTTTGTATTTTTTTTTTATATAATAATTTGAGCGCGTTTGACCGCAATCTCACCTGATGTTAAGTGATGATGTGGTCTAAGCTGTTACACGCAAGCTCAAATAATACCTATTCACTCTTGACTTAAAAGACCCAATGTTGTAAGAGGCAGGAAAAATAGACGCTGGTAGAGAGTTCCACTCCTTAGCTGCTCGCATAAGGAAAGATAATGCAAAACGGTTAGTTCGAGCAGCTGGGATGTCAATAGTGTAGGGGTGGAGCCGCTCTCTACGTCTTGTTGTACGTTGATGGAACGGTGCTGGAGGAATGAGGTTGTGCAGTTCTTGAGCACATTCGCCAAAATGGAGCCTATAGAACACCGATAGACAAGCTACTTTACGTCGGTGATAATATATACAAATATATATATATTTTGGATTGGGCCACCTTTATCATTTAGAGGTATAAACAATAGATAACAACCTATTCTCGGTCCTACCGAGAGTAAAGTAAAGAGAGAAAGCGATTTTGGAGAAGTATGGCAACTAACACTTTTTGACGACCTCGGTGGTCTAGTGTATCTATGTATTTGTATCAGTTGTCTAGTACCCCAATAACACAAGCTGTAGCTAGCTTAACTTGGGTCTAGATGGCGCTGTGTGAATTGTCTTGAGATTATTATTAACACTGATTGTATTAATAAATAATAATAATAAATAGTGTAAACATAGACGAAACGACACGAACAATTTAATTGTGCAAAAATAATAAATAAATAGATACATTTTTGCAGTAGAGTTTTGTGCTCTAATAGTATTAGTATGGAGTATATTACAGAAAGTAAATCCGTATAATGAGTCACAGAAACATTGCAATAGTGTACAGTCGAAAGAGAAATTAGGTGTACGGAGAAAGTGCGGATAGGTAGGTACGTAAAAAATTTGCATGCGAAACGCTATTGCGTAACGCCAGTGCGTCGACGACTGCAAAAGGATAACCAACTAGGCTGTGCCGCAATTGCTGTTCCTGATTGTTATATTTTGTGACTTGTATCTTCTCGAATAACATGAAACTTCATTATACGTAACTACGTATAATTTACTTCGTTTTTGTATAACTATTAGCCGCGACTTTGCCTGTTTTTATGAGATAAACGATAACCTATATTAATTTTAAATACAGAGAAAACGGTATAGGAAGATAAATCTATTTTTTAATTCATTTAAAAATTTTACTAAGACATTCATTTCTAAATATATATATATATAACTCAAAGTGTGACTGACATAGTGATCTATCAAAGCACAGCCCAAACCACTGGACGGATCGGGCTGAAATTTGGTATGCAGGTAGATGTTATGACGTAGGCATCCACTAAGAAAGGATTTTGATTAATTCTACCCCCAAGGGGATAAAATGGGGGATGAAAGTTTGTATGAAACTTTGTCAATTTTAAACCGATCGGGCTGAGACTGTGCATACATAAAGCTGCTATGACGTAGGCATCCCCTAAGAAAGGATTTTGTTAAATTCCACCCTATACCTACACTCATAAATCTTCTTAGATTTTCGACTGATTGAACTGGAATTAAAGATTGGAGCTACTATGATGAAGACGTTCGCTTAAATAGCATTTTAAATTACATTGCAAAATATTTTCATCACTAAAAAGTACTTTTTTGATCACGTAATGACTTAATTTCCGTGATGTTATTTATGTAGGTACTAACCGACAGCTGTCATTCTTTTTTTTTTCGGTTTATTCTAACGCTTTTCGCCTCAACGGACGATAGGGGGCGAGAACAGATGGCACTCAAAACCCGCGAATCACCTAAAAAGCGACTAAAGGCCAACTCCGCCTGACGGATACGACTTTAGTCTGAAAGCACCGCTAGGAGTTCGAACCTTGGCTCAAGCCGTCGTAATTTCGATCCCCGTTTGAATTGGACGGAGAATCAATCTAGACCGTTAATTTTGCATGTCAGATTTTTGCGCACGATTGTTCTTTACAAAAATATACCTTATTTCTGCGTTAAATAAATCATCCATTCATTCATTCAAATGAGCTGTCAGCTTGTTTGCTATTCCAATTAACTAAACCAGTCTCTATCACAATTACTTCTGAAGTTCATCTCGCTTGTATATGCTGATGTATATTTACAATGTGTAAGTAAATGAATCGATAGCAATAAAGTTTAAACTTGTATTAATATTCTAGACGTTACTCAGCACAACCTCGGCACACTTATAAGACCTTCTGTGACCATATTCATCCGTGACGTAGGCATTCATTCATGGCGCTGTTTGGGAATGAGTTTCAATGTATTCATTTGGTTGTATTGAGTTTGTAATAAGGAATATAATGGATATTGATTATTTATACAGTTATTGCTTATTTGTCTTTTTTTGTTGTTCTCGTCCTTAGTTAAGAAAGGTAGGTGGTTTTTTATTACGTTGGCGTTTTTAATGACTCAGAAATACTGTGAAATGTTTAATTTTTTTATGCATTTGGAAGCTGATGGTCTTGAGAAAAGATACAAAGGGTTACCATCGCCTATACGAATATGCAAAAGCCGTGGCACTCGAACACTATTTTGGGTCAAATACACTATAACCTCATAATATTAATGCGTTGCCATCCCAGAGAACTAAGACGTTATACTTTCATACCAATCTACTGCCACATTTAATGTACATAATACACAAGATATTTAAGAGCTTTACAATATACCTTTTATTTGTTGCCATATCGATAGACCTATTTATACCGTCGTATCTATCTATAATACTCGTATATAACGCTTTAAGCCGGGACGGAACTTGCAAATCAAGCTACTGTCCTTTGTATGAGGGAAAAAACCAAATGCCTTTATTCTTACCTTACATGAATATTTTGATCCGACTAAATTCATACTTCGGTTGCGAGCATTCTCAACATCTTTATCTGATAGTGTTTCAACCTATATTGTTAAATCAAATGCTAAATTCAGAACGGCAAAAAAGATTGGTACCTATAGAAAATCTCAATTCATAGTAATATAAAGGGAAGATTTGTTTTCATTTTCTTCCCCTTCGATCGATCCCCGTCCAATTCAAACGTGGATCTGGACGGCCTGAACTGAGGTTCGAACCACTAGCGGTGCCCTCAGACTAGAGTCGTATCCGACAGGTGGGAGTTGGCCTTATGCCGCTTCATAAGTCCTTCCGCGGGTTTGGAGTGCCATCTGCACTCGCCCACTATCGTCCGGCTGTAAAGCCCAGCTGCGGCCAACAGCATTAGAGAAAAAAATAAAACTTCTACTGCAAAATAAAACTTAAAAACAAATCTCTTCAGTTAATTAATATTCACATTCAGTAGTAGTCCGAAAAAAAAAATATTTTCTTCGTTACTGCACCTGTGCGAATTTTAATATAAAAGTCACGATATAAAAGTTGTACATTATAAATTATTTTAATGTGAACCTACGCACGTTGAGTACATACAAATTGTTACAAAAACGTGATTGAATTTGTAACTTAACCTTTTATGTTTTTTTCCAGGTACTTGTTGGGGGCAGTCACCTTACGAATACAATCGTAAGTAAATTCTTTATGTATACGTATAGAATCTTAAACATGTGGAAATGGCGAACATTTCTGGTCTGTTTTTAATAATACATTGTTGTCAGTTTAGAATATTTAACCCTAGATCCATGGTCATATATCATATATTTGAACAGGTTGTAAAGATACTTAGGGATATTTTATTATCTATAAAATAAACATGGGTAGTTAGAGGCATTGTCAACTGTTTATATTGTAGATAACTTAACTCTTGCCCACATTTCACTGAGTATATGTATTTAATTGCGACGTAGCAGAGAGTCCACCAGAGTAAAGTTTCAGAGCACAGTCACGTATATGTAGACTTTGTTCCCGACTCCTTTCCTTAAAGAGAAGCCTACCATCTTGTTAACTCGAAAATTCCTTAGTAATTTTTCTATTAGAGAGAGAACGACGATAACGTAACTTAAAGAAATCGAGAATTTATATTCTTCTCAAAGTTTTTAGGTGCCGGCCAGAACCAAAAACCTCTTGGGTTTAAATCGAAGTAGTAAAACACTGGACTACGACACTGTCAAGACTCTTTTTTAGTTAGTATAGATATAAAATTAGAAAAGATACAGAAACAGACAAGAAATAAAACTAAATCAACTTTAATTAAAACTCTTAAATAAATAAAAAGAACAGAATTAAAATATGGCCAAAATAAACAAAACCTTTCCAATTGCATTGAAAGCCAAGCACGATATTCCTTAAAATATTGTACAAGATTTTGTTTAAGGTTTTATTGCTTCAGTAAACGCATACTTAGTTCACTCATTCCAATGCCGTATATACACAATTTGTGTAACAAAACGCTGTTTTTATAAATACTAAATGAGAATGTATATATCTGGATATATACATACTTATTTATATGAATATATTTATTTATTTATTGTTTTGCACAAAAATGTATACATAACTTAATGCCTGATGGCATTCTCTACCAGTCAACCGTCGCTTTGATCAGAGATAACAAGGCAGTGCACTTTAATAATTAATTAAAAGAAAAAAAATCAATTATTATAACGGATAGATACAGAAAAATATTATATATATACATATGCAAATATATAAAAATACTAATAAATCAATATAAAATATATAAGTTTATGGATTACATATAAATAAAATATAAAATTAAACTACATATAATAAATATTCATATAATCTCATGTAGTTGTATCTTGATATATGGGAATAAAACTTATAACCCAGGACAATTCATACAGCACCATCTATTCCGATACTACCAGAGCTTGTACTAATGGGTATAGGTGATGACAAAAATCACTAAAAAAGAAGTCACACATTTTTTTTTTGTAAATACTTTCATATAGAAAACAACTTAATTTTTGACGATTGACATTTGGTGTTGTGGCCTTTGACATAACAACGGAAATTCTCAAAATTATTTTCCCGTTTATCCAACATTTTTCATTCTTGCTCCGCCTCTGTTAGTCGTAGCGTGATGTTATATAGAAAACAACGTAACCATGAATACAAATGTTTGTATCATGCATGGAATCGAACCCCGTGATCAAAGCAGTGTGCTAAACCATCAGTATCACAAACGTATTGTTTGTACACTAATTCACAAATATACCATCATGAAATACACATTTTCCAATTTATTTAATTGGTTATTTTTTTATAATACTAACAACTAATGGCGATCTTCAAATGTTTAGTTTAAAATCGACCGAGCGTCATCATTCGATTAGAAATAGTAACACAAGCGCGGGAATATGAATATCTACACAATTAACCACAGTCCTGTCGACTTTTTAAAACGAACGACCCTCTTCGGTACCACAACAATAGAATATTTAAGGTTGTATCCTAAAGTCTGTGTCGTAACGAAGGCAAACTAATACTCCAGGTCACATCGTGAGGTCAGGCGATGAAAGTAAGATTGTGAGGTTCCCATCCCTGTCAGTGTGAACCCGACCCAGTTTTGACGATTGACATTTGGTGTTGTGGCCCTTGACATAACTGGACTATAAGTCTATGAGTATTCCCGGGAATATTTAACCTATGTAATTGATTCCATTTGAAAGCGTGACGCCGAAGAATGATATGATTAATGACGTTCGAATTGAACTTTTAGTCTGACTTTCAACAGTAAAGGATTCGAAACTCTATTGTTTTTTTTAATGTGTATATTAAGATATCGATATCTTGCAAATTCTAAATCAATATTAATGCTAGATGATCCGCGCTAATTTGTCTGCATCACGTGAGGAAGAAGCAACGGAAATTCTCAAAATTATTTTCCCATTTATCCAACATTTTTCTTTCTTGCTCCACCTCTGTTAGTCGTAGCGTGATGTTATATAGCTCATATTCTTCACCGATAAATGAGCTATCCAATATTAAAAGAATTTTAAAATTCTCTCTATTAGTTCCTATGAGCGTTCAACCAACCAAACAAACTCTTTAGCTCTATGCATGTAGTAGTATATTCACGATTGAAGTTGAATATTTGTGAATGTGTAATGAAAAGTTTTTGGTTGTATGTATGTATGGGTAGGTATCATCCATTACCTAAACGTATACATTGCTTTATGGACTAGAGAAAGAAATCTTGAATAAACCTTCAGTTTTAGCGTACCCTTTACGGAGTGCCTAGCAAAATACCAAATACAATACCGTCAAAAAAGTTTTCTCATTTGGTTGAAAACTAGTTCAGTGTATCGTAATGTTATTTATGTGAAAACCAAGTGCATTTTCCTGGGAATCCGACGCACACGCAACTTAGCACACACATTATTAATGTCTGCAGTTGTGAAAGCGTGTATGGTGCAAGCCATGGTGTGTATTCTAGTTCAATATATATAATAAGATGTACTAATACTGCACTATTAATTATTACAATGTATACTTATGCCGGTAGTTTAGCGGTTTAGCAGCCTTCGCCACAATCGCCTTACTTTCTATGGTAACTGGTTCGATTCTCGCTCGATATAAACATTTGTATTCAGTAGTATTTTTGTTAGTCTGTGTATATTCTAGGTATATTATATTAATAAAAATAATATCTTCAGACAATTCACACAACGCCATCTAATCTCAATCTAATCAGATCTTGTATTATGGATACTAGACAACTGATAGATAAGTAGATCCATTTTTTGTAGTAAATACATACATAATATAATTACATAGTAAACACCCAAACCGATACAAGCAATCATGCTCATGAATACAAATTTTTGTACCTTGAGAGCAATCGAACCCGCGACCGAGCTAAACCGCTAGAACAGCGAGGTATTCAAAATATTGTGTGTATTTACAAAAAATATGAATTCAAGTATTTCTTTAATTAGTTTTTTAATGCCCATAGTACAAGTTTTCAAAACAGGTATTTAAGAAAAAGATAAAACTTTTTCTACTAGACAATTCCTAGCATTTATATATTATTATTATTTTTTGAAAGCCTTTGGTCGCTTAGGTAATGGTCCGCGTCAACAGTTATTTGTATTTGAATTGATATTGATATACATTTTGATTTATTTATTTTATTATTTTTTTCTTCTATTATTTTTATTAAGAATTAGTTTAATTTAAATTTTGGTAACATTAAGATTGTTGAGTGAATATGTCGCTGCACGCGATCGCACCACCACTGGGCTGCTACTGAAAATCAGTGTTTTGCTCGCTGAGCAAATTGTTCACTGAGTAGCTCAACCCTTTCGTATCCCTGTGGCACCTAATATATATTTTAATGTTTATTTTATGTGGAAGTTAAAGTATTATGTGTTGTATTTTTTTTTTATAATTATTTACTATTCTTATGTGTTATTTGGATTTTGTTTGTACTATCTTTGTTATCGGGATACGAATAAAGATTTTTATCTATCTATCAAGTTTTGCTCAGTTTGGGACTAGATAGGGATGAGTTAATTGTCCTGGATTTTATTATTTTAATTAATTCTTCAAATGTTAATGACTATAATCTTAATTCCTAGAAGTCGATTGCATATTAAAACCGGTAATACAGTCGCCCACATATACCGACTGGGCCATTGGTCGATACACTTATAAACATATTATGTCTTACATAGTAACTTATATATCTCTTTAAAATTATATTATCTCTACATTTCTTATTATATAATTCTCCAAATATAAAATTATCTTTAAACGTTTCTAAACAATAAAAGCACTGCTTCATTATAAATAGTTATAAAGGAAGGAGATCTAAGACTAATATGTAATGCTATGAGAATAAAAAAGGCACCGATATAGTCTCAAATATTGTATTGACTTGTGTCATATATATAAAACAATATAGTTATTATAAAAAACGTAGACAATAAAAAAAGTATATTAGTTTATATACAAATATATACTATATTGACTACTAGTTATGCCCGCGGTTTTACCCGCGTGTAATTTATAGCCTATATGTTATTCTCATGTCTAATCTATATTACTATAAAGTTTCATCAAAATCCGTACAGTAGTTTTTGCCTGAAAGAGTAACAAACATGTATCCATACTCACAAACTTTTATGTTTATAATATTAATAAGATTTTAGTCTTATCTAGCTGAATAGAGTTAAAGAGAATAAAATACTAGCTAATCTGCGCAACTTCGTCTGCGTAACATTTACCCCAATTTTTGCTACATTTTTCACTTGGGGAAATCAGTCATAGAGTACCGTCCGCATAACACCAAAAAGTAAAAAAAAAAAAAAACAATAAACTTACATAGTCTATGACAATCTACCTGTTAATATGTTGCGTGACATCCACATCTAGAGCTCCTTATAATAAGAATGTAATAAGTAAGCAAGATTTAAAGATGGTAATTATATCTCTGAGGAAATATCTTGTTACAGCTATTTCCTCTCATTGCAAGTAAATCTTGATAATAACAAAACCACAATGTGTGACGTTTACTTTCTCTGTTTACCCTTTTGTAGCCTATACCCAACGAGCAAGTCTACCGAGCTCCGCTAATGTCTTTTATAACCCACTTAAAA